AATCAATGCAGAATGTTATGTTGATACATTGGACGTGTGGGAAAAACTTATTTTTTAATGTTTGATTTTATTGCTTCTCATATTTTATATTAATGAACAATGAATTAGTTTCCATTGGAACGTTTTTTTCCATAATAAAATGTTCTTAAAATAAAAGTGTACTGATACAATACTACATTGATTTTGGAGTCATTCAACTTTTGAAGGTAAATAATATTTTTCAATAAAGAAACTGCTGATTTGTTTCATAATTGTATACAATAGGAGAAGCACAACATCTTAAAAAAGGGATATGTGCTTTTGATGAATTGCTGGTTGTGTCATGTGAAGGCAGTCATTGTGTATATCACAGTAGACGTTATTATGTGCAGTGAAACTAGTGAATAGTGTGCTTTTAAAAGGTCTTGAGTCTTAGTTCTACCTGCCTGTAGATTCAGACGTGCTCCTTAGGATTATTTCTCATCTACTTTTTTCTGTCTTCTCTTTCTCAGACGGCCACATTGCGCCCATATCTCAATGCAGTTCGTGCTACCCTGCAAGCGGCCGTCTGCCTGGAGAATTTCTCCTCGCAGGTGGTGGAGAGACACAACAAACCAGAGGTGGAAGTACGGTGAGTTGTCACCTCAACTTTGAAATTGACTTTGGAGCATATAACACCCAGCAGTGCATGAATTCTGGGTTTCCCTTCTTAGTCCCTGTGGACTGATTGTGCGACCGAAAATGATTTCTCTGTTTTTCTCCCCCTTTTAGGAGCAGTAAAGAGTTGCTCCTCCAGCCTGTGATCATCAGCCGTAACGACAAAGAGAAAGTTCTGATCGAGGGCTCCATCAACTCTGTCCGAGTCAGCATCGCTGTCAAGCAGGTCGGGTCACAATGGTTATGTGTTTAAGACCCTGATAAGAAACAAATGGTTGCTTATCAACAAGTAAATACAACGATTATTATATAAAGATCCAAACTGTACTTGTAATCCTGACTGTCCTTTGAAATACTGTGCTGCTGTAGGCCGATGAGATTGAGAAGATCCTGTGCCATAAGTTCATGCGGTTCATGATGATGAGGGCGGAGAACTTCTTCATCCTCAGGAGGAAACCAGTGGAGGCAAGTGGACATTGACAGTGTCACATTTACAGGGTTTCTACATATACCTATTTATTTATTTATTTATTTATTTATTTATTGGAAGTTAGTTGCTCCATAGTTTCTCTTGGAATAAATGTACATTTCACATTTATATATTCAGTTTAATATTTCATATTCCATCTTTCACATACTTATACTTATGTATCTATAATACCTTGCTTTACATCTTGTTATTGTACATTTGTAAATTCAACATTTATATTTTCTACTTTCTTGTTTATTTCTTGTCTTTGAATTTTGATTGTACAATACCATGTCATTGCTGCTGCAACACAAAGATGTCCCAAATTGGGATCAACAAAGTACTATCTTATCTTATCTAAGTTGAGCTCCAGCCTTACGAGCAAGACGTTTTCCTGTTAAAGGTAATGGATGGTAATGAATAGGGATGGGTATCGTTTGAAATTTATCGATTCCGATTTCGATTCCGGTTCTGCTTATCGATTCCGGTTCTTATCGATTCCCCGTTTCGATTCCAAAATTGTAAAATAAAGAGGTCAAACGTTTAGATAACAAAAATATATTTATTCTTAAAAGCTTTAACTGAAATTGTTACTAAAAAATATACATGCAATACAAATGTATTGCACAATAGCTGTGCTTTATTTTAACTGAGCTATGCCTGTGGCAAGCTATTAACAGGCATTACACTTTGCCTTTTCTTTTTCTTTTTTAGTGTAGTGGAGCCTCACTTCAGAGTGTTTACCGCGACCTATCTTTGGTGTTATGAAGTGACTGAGCTCGTGAAATGTCTACGGGAGGGCGGGGAGCATCGCTGCGGGGCAACTGTGGACCTCTGTCGCCTGTCAGCGCAATTTATATGATGCCGTTTTAAAAAAATGAAGGGCGGTGCCGGCCGTCAGCGTACCGAGCCGGCCGTCAACGGCCCGCTGACGACCGGCCGTTCTGTGATTCTCCAGGTCCGCCCTGTATTCCACCGGGTCACCGCAGCACCGCGGTGCAGACGGACCCGCTGGAATACAGGGTCTACCGCGATTAGGAACCGTTAAGCAGAACCGAAATTGTGTATTTTGTATGGGTACCCGGTACCCGGCATTTTCTTATCGGTTCTCATCTGGAACCGAGTTTCGGTTCCCAACCCTAGTAATGAACCAAAAATAACAATTGTTTTATACATTATAAAACATCAAAGATGAGTTAATGTAAGTCCTTAAATAGCCAGTAATGGTTATTGCTCATGAACGCAACCTGAATGTTCCAGTTAGTGGAGATAGCAGAAACCAATCAATGTATTTCAAATGATTTTTGCCATTTTATGTTTAAGCCATTAATGTTTTCCACAAATGCTCACAAATTGACTAGAAAAATGATTTGTTGCTAACAGGGGAAACCTTGATTTGTGTGGTTTATTGCTGTTTGGAGTTTTTAAAACAATCTCTTGTCACCCGTCTTCATTTCGCAGGGCTATGACATTAGTTTTCTCATCACCAACTTCCACACAGAGCAGATGTACAAGCACAAACTGGTGGACTTTGTCATTCATTTCATGGAGGAAATTGACAAGGAGATCAGTGAGATGAAGCTGTCTGTCAACGCCAGGGCTCGTATTGTTGCAGAGGAGTTCCTCAAAAATGTAAGTTTAAGTTTGTTTCTAAATGTTTCTGCATCTCACGCTCGAATGGATGCAGCATTATGCACAAGTGGCATTCTTTTGAGTTTTGTATGGTAGGACTTTGACTCAGATAATTATGTATACAGTAACAGTTTTGCTATTATTCCATTATTTCCTTCAGATGTTCCGTTTCTTAGACATTGTTTTTCTTTTGCCTCTTGCAGTTCTAAAAGGGAGAGAACCTGGGAATACATTCCTTTTGCGATCTTGGCCGCGGAGCTTTCACAGAGCAGAGGAGGCTGAATCTGCTCAGCCGAGAGAAGTTGAGAAACATAAGACGTACAGGCCAACGGGCTTTTGCTCAGAAATATTGATATATTTTGTGTGTAAATATTGAATATTCATACCAAACATTAATTTCTGCCTTTAGAACGTTAGAAGTCAGGACAGGTCCTTTAAAAAGGTATTTTTATCAATATTTATGAGCACAGGGTAATATGGATTCAAATGTTTTTTAAATATATATATTATATGCATATCCATTTCATTTAGCAATGTTTTGTTATGACAGACCTTAAACCACAAGGGCAATCAATTGGTGCACGTTTCTTCAGTCCACAGCAAAAACCTATTGTAGATGGAAATAATTAAAAAAAAGTATACTTGCTGAAAGTGATGATAAATAAAAATATTATTCTTTGTATTTTAGAGTTTTTTTGTGACACGAAGCACAATGAGCAGATTTGGTTTCCTCAAAAATGGAGGGTTTATTGAATGTTTCACGGCTGGAGACAAACAAGGCATTTGGAATTATATTCTGAGCACAGAAATGGATAATATTACAGAAATTATACATAGTTCTTTTTAAAAAAAAAAACATATATTGCATGGTAATTCCAACAGTAAATGTACATCAAACAAACATGCGTGTACACAGTTCTTTTTATACTCCAAAAGGCATTTGTTTGAATGATCACATTATTGTTCAATCGAAAGCGACTGACTTCAGACAGAAGATTTGTATTAGCATTTCACTTTATCGCCAAAATCTGAAGCCCCCTCAGAGTCCAAATCCTTTTTGGTTTGAAAAAACGATAACTAGCAGAGCCTCGTCCCAAGATGTGTGATACAGGACATCTGCTGCATCTGTGTCACTTCCGTTTACAGTGTATTACGTCCTGTGTGGGGAAAGGATTTCATCTTCACCTCTGGAATGTTTTAAGATTTATATCAGAGTTTACACACTGAGAAAAATTGCGCTATTTTTGTATATAACATCTAGCAAAGGAAACGCTGTTAAAAAAACAAACAAACCCTCTTCTTTGTCTAATTAAACGTTTCTGATCTCAGGGATTTAAGACTTTAATCAAGAGTCTCTCGTAGTAACTGTCTCTTCACAGCTCTTTGACTTCTTCAGAGACACTTAGATTATATGGCAGTATACATTTCACAATATACAGTATAAATAATATCATGGAAAAAGGTGCTCAAAGTTAAGGGAATATAATCATTGCAACACTAAAAGTAAACCCATTTATCAAAAATATTAGCATATTCTTTAGTTTTTCTCACAGGGAGCTACAGTAGGAGTTCAGTTCACAACAAAACAAGACGTATAAAAATGGATTACGTTTAGTGAAAGTGCTTTACAGTTTGAACCTTGATGCAGTTCAGAGACCCGGAGGAGGAGCAGAGGTCAGAGGTGAGCTGGGACCGTCAGCAGAGCGTCTTCTGTCGTGCGCTGCGCTCTCACATTCTGAAACGGTGAGAAAAGCACTGCGTTAAAATCCTTCATTACCTTATCCTTCACTAAAAAAAAACATGATAACCATATTTTGATCTACAGTATCTCTGATCAAATGACTTTAATGAAGGCAGAATGCATGCTTATATCTAGTATTCGTTGAGTTTATGAATGGCTGCTGTGACAGAGGTTAAGTAAAATAAGTTTAAAAGTTAGATTTACTTTAGCCAATACTTGCTCATGGTTCAGAATACGTTATAGCACAGAAGTAAGCATTTTACTCTACAATCATGTATATATTGTATCCATTCATTACTTAACGCTTGATTGGGACACATCAAGTCTGGCACCCCCCCTCCCTTTGATACATGTACTTATTAGTCACTGTTTTTTTTTTTTTTTAAATGGGAGAAAGGAGGATTTTTCCATTTTGGACTTTTATATTTACAATATTCTTCACAACCAAAACAAAAATGTTACATTTCATGATAAATAATTTAAGCATGTGCGTGCTCAAACAAATGGTTGAAACTGTAAATGTTGATTTTATCGTCAATTATCTTTATTTAAGGTTAGCATTTCATTTTGGTGGGCATTGCAGATGAACCCTTCACATTTAGGCAGTAAACAGAGACAAAGTAAGAAAATAATTCATGTGCAGAAGAAAATTATGTAAAGGGTAAATGTTAAAGTGTACAAAAAACAGGCTTTAATGCAAACTGGCAAACATACACAAAAACAGGGTGAAATTATATGTATGTAATGTTCTTGTGTTCTCTCCTTCATTCACTATTCATTACACACACACACCTACCTGTACCTCTATACTTATGAGGCAGCTAATTCCCTAGCCCCAACCCTTAGTCAGCACTTTAAACACCACCAAAAGTCTAAAATATGTCGTCGCTCCAGAGGTCGGAGTCAAACTGGTCCTCACAAATATAGATGTACAAATACACACAGCCGAGGGATTCCTCCTGAAACTGGATTCCAGTTATGTACTGAGATGTAAAACGTAGGCCCCGAGAACTCAACACACTGCAGCTAGAGAAGGAATGAAGACATGGAGGAAAATCTTCACCAGTCTTGACACCACATTTGCAGCATTTAATAGAAAAAAGCCAAAACCAAAACCAAACATGTTGCATGTCAGGACACAACAGAAGAACAGCTAGCTGTGGAGTCAGTGTTGTTGGAAAATTAAAGTTTTGATTTTACATTCTGATTATATGGTTTAATGATTATTTCAGATGTCTGCTGTTGGACTACTGATTACTTTGTTTGTATATTCAATTCTAAAGAGTCTTTCTATTAAGTGAATATAACAGTTTGACATCTGTGTGATTGACAGTTTCTGTATTTGGTTGTACTTTGCAGCGTTTTCTCTTCTTTCATGCATTTTCTTAAGTAGCAGTGTGTTGACCTATTAGGGCCAATACAGAAAAAGACATGCGATGAGAAAAGGTCACTGCTGGCAGGATGGAGATAGGAGCGTCAATGGTCATTCTGTGTCACAGTTGTCGTTCTGTCAGGAAACACCGGTGCATCGGGACATGGGTCCTCTGCCATGTGTGAAAGATGTGTGTTCTCAGAGAGAGGAGGGTCCGCACTGACTGCTTCAGGTGGGAGATGCAGACTTAAAATGATGTAAGACATACAATGTGCTTCTCCAGTAATGATGAAAGTCACACACAGCGTTTAAAGGTGACGTGTTTACTGCGTGACATTCTCCCTTTTGCGTCCCCGAGGAGCCGAGTGGAAAACGCAGTGAAGCCAGTCACACCTGAAGGGGACTCAAGTGGTCTTCTGCTGAGAGACATTTCTGAGAGCTGCCTGTGATACCTACCTCGGGTCTGTCTCTGTGTGTGTTCACCGAGTCCACGCCTAAATACACAGACTCCACTTTACATCCTGAGGAAGAGCACAGCAATTATTCAAAGTTAGTGGAGATAGCAAGATACAAATAATGGAGATTCCCGGTATCATCAAATATGATGACAGCAGGCGTTAAACTGAAAATGGCAGTGAAACATGCTGAAAAAGCTTTATTACATTTGCATTGCATCACTGATAGGACAGGTATCTTTTTATGGTGAAAAACAATCAAACCATTTTAAATAAGGTACTCATAAATCATGATAAGGGTCCTCCAGCAAAAAAAAACCATGGTGTGAGAATCTGTTCTATGATAATTACATTATTTTGTGTCTATGTGTTTTTCATTTACCTAAGACTGAAAATAGGATTGTTTTTTAATCAAACAACATGGGAGTTATACTGTATTGTATCAAAATTAATGAAGTTAAAAAGAATATATTGCAATCTAAGTCTTGAAAATGACAGAACTCACCGTAGGCCATGGGGGTCAACTTCAACACCGTGTGCAAAGGGCACTTGAGATAAGGCAACTCATCTGTGGAGGCAGCGACAGAAAGCTATGAAACTTCTTTTAGGGTCAAGGTGCATATTTCTATTTACAGCTTGACAATACGTTGTAATCATGTTTTTATTTCCTACTGTGAGTCTTTCATACCTGCAGTCTTGTCCAGGAAATATGCAAGAAGACACCGCATGACGGCCTGGTGACAAACCACCAGAACGTTCTCCTGCCTCTCCAGCTCCATGATCACAGGCTCCAGGCGCTGCACCAGGTCTTCATAAGACTGACAGAGAAACAGAGACCTGTCAGAATCACAGCACACAAATCCATTCCCCTCGTAAGAATGATCCCCTGACTTTAGGAAGCATCACGCTCTCACCTCTCCTTTGGGATAGCGGTAGCGGTACTTGTCTTGGTCTCTCAGAGCAAACTCCAGAGGGAAATGCTCCTGGATCTCCTCGTACATCATTTCCTCACACACACCCTTTGTTAAGAGGGGAGAATATGTGTTAAACTTGAGTAAACAAAGCTTAAAATAAGGCTGTTAAATGTATGTTGATTCAACGTACAGCATCTATTTCGTTGAGAGACTTCCACTGTTCGTACGGCACTCCCAGGCTCTCCGCCGTCTGGATGGTCCTCTTCATCTGGCTCGTCCACACTTTCAGATCTGTGATGTTCTGTTCCTGGATGAACTTCCTCAGACATTTGGCATACTAGAACACAAGATGAAATCCAATGAGAACAATCATTTCTCCACAAAACTTGGAGGACATTTGATCTCAGGTGTGACACGCACCTCTTTTCCTCTGGCAGACAGAGCAGAGTCTCCTCCGATCCGGCCCTTGATGTTCAGGTCGCTCTCCCCGTGGCGGCACAGGTAGATGGAGCGTGGCGTGATGTGGATGTTCATCAGGTAGTAGACGATCCTGCTTTGGACGTGGTCAAGGACGCGGTTCACCAGGAAACGACAGCCCACGTCGATGATCTTTATGTAGGAGAGATCCCTGGAGAAGAGAGTCAGTCACAGTTCAGTGTTTTTTTCTGTGCTTATATTTCCTTTAATGCCATTAACCTGCCAGGCACTGCAGATGGAAATTAGCCTTTGTGGCTAAATCTGGCATTTTTACAAGACTGGCTCCAGGGCTCATGATAATGTGCATAGTCTCTTCTTAAGCAGATCTTGAGCAGAACGTGTATTCTTCTCTAAATCATCTGTGTTCCTCACCTGTCCAGAACCTCGTCCAGAGGCTGGTAGGACGACTCGTAGCACTTGATCCTCTTCATGAAGTCCTCGATGGCCTCCTCTGTGTTGCAGTGTATGTAATCTGGGCTGTCCAACTTAACTTGCTACAGAGACAGAGACAGACAGACAGACAGACAGACAGACAGACAGACAGACAGACAGACAGACAGACAGACAGACAGACAGAGAGAGAGAGAGAAAGTGAGCTTTCTGACTCTGCATGTCTGAGTGTTTTAGATCTGAACATCACACCATCATATAGAAGTGAGAATGATTTGACCAGATCACTTTCTATTATTCTTTTGATTAATACAGTTTTTTTTACTACTGTATTTTAAGTGATTTGTATGGATAGAATAAGAAGAGAAAAAGGCTTACCACTATATTTTGTGCAATGACATCTGGGTCTTCACACACAGACTCCACAAAGAACACCTGCATTGACAAGATGTTATGATAAACATGGAGTCATGAAGTCAGGAGGAATCACAATCCCACGTTTCCTTATTTGACATACCTTAAAGCCATTCTGCTCAGCAAACTTGACGATGGTCCCTCTTCGTTCTCTTGTTGTATTCGTGGCATCAAACACCTGAAACAACAGGTAAAACATTTATTTAGGCAGCTCCAATGTAAAGTTTATGAACTGATATTATTATCATTTGCTAAGGATAACTTAAGGACATCTTTAAGGACTCACCGCCACCTGTCCTCCTTCCACACTCAGGTACTGCCGGACATCGTTGAGTGCAGCTAACGCACACTGACTGTTGAAGGACATAAACAGCAAAGACTTCTTACTTTAATACCCAAATACATCCACTGCTGAATTTATTAGTTAAAATAACATTTAAAAAAGGTAGGGTAGGTAAGAATGGAGAAACCAGCTCGAGTGCACTAGAATTTGAAAGTGCACAACCGGAAAAAATCTGCCACTTCCTTCAGACTTCCCTACAGAGCCCCTCCTCCAACACACACGAACGCGCACATGACCAATGAGGGCACGAGATAAGTTTGTGCACAGATGGAATGCTGACAGGCAGGTAGGCCATCCAGTTACTTTAGCCGGGCCGGCTCAGATGATTGGTCGTGCTTTTTACAGCGCCACGGCTTCCACAGATGACATTTTGTAATGTATTTATTGTCAAAGCATTTAATGTATTCATTGCTATTGGGATGTTAAGAGCATTCCATGGAACAAAAAGTGTTTCTGAAGTGAATTACCTACCCTACCTTTAACAAAACAAAGCCAAAGGCGTAAATTGTGGTATTCTATTATTAAAAACTAAACAAGCACGATAAAACTACAACACAGCAAGTGCAGATCATAACATTAACATACAAAATATCATGTGACAGACAATATGAGACAACCTTGAATTAAAAGTGGTTTACATTTCTGCTTTATTGAAAGGATGTGTTATGAAGATGAAGATATCTGGCACCCAACCCCCATCAATTTAAAACAATGTGTGCACACTAAAGGTCGAAGGTAAACTAGAAAGTAAAACATTTGGACAATATGAACTATGTTCCTTTGTGTTTCTTCGTCTTCACAAAGGAAGTTTAGGTTCTTAACACTTTATTCTTATTAAACCTTTCACAGAATTACCTACAGAAATACTACTTGTTGTCTGATCTGCAGACACACCCCATGTTGTAGTGAAACAGCAGAGGTGGAGGTAGTTGACAGGCCTGGCGTAGACTTACCGTCTGATTTTCAACCCCTCCTCGTTATCTGGCCGGAAGAACTCAAAGGACTTGTAGATCTTCAGACACTCCCTCCGGTACTGGCCAACGTTGAACTCTGTAACATATTACAAAATTACGTTTTATTACCAGCAAAAGCAAGAATGCACGTTTCAGAGTGGCCTTTTATTGTGGCCAGCCTAAGGCACACCTGTGCAATAATCATGCTGTCTAATCAGCATCTTGATATGCCACACCTGTGAGGTGGGATGGATTATCTCTGCAAAGGAGAAGTGCTCACTATCACAGATGTTTTTCAGATTTGTGAACAATATTTGAGAGAAATGGTTATTTTGTGTTTATAGAAAATGTTTTAGATCTTTGAGTTCATCTCATAAAAAATGGGAGCAAAAACAAAAGTGTTGCGTTTATATTTTTGTTCAGTGTATCTGTGAATGTGTTAGTGGGGCAGCTATTACCTTTAGTTGGCACACCTATCCAGTTCAAGTAGCGTGTGAGCTTCTTTGAGATGTAGGTCTTCCCTCGCGCTGGAAGTCCAACCGTCACGATGAGGGTCGGGCAGTTTGTCATGCACACTGTGTGAGGGAGAGAGAGAAACACAGAGCTTTAAGAGATTTAACTCATTTCTGTATAGGTATTGGCTTAGCATGGCTTGTCAACATTGTTTCATCCAGCAAGAGTTTAATTAGTTTTGAAGATCGCTCATAATTACAGCAGACACTGAGAACACTTGTTGGCTCACATTGAGTGACAGTGACACACATTATTACAACAACTGAAACAGTGAACAAAACATATCTTTCTCTAGACCATGAAACATCTTATAAGTAACCCCTTTTGAATTATGTCTCATCAAGACTTGAGAATAGCTCTTAAGGAGACCTTATACTGAATATAAGGATGAGATTGTACAAGTAGAGCTCAGAAGGTTGAAACCCCTCACACACTTCTGTAAAAGCTGAGCAGAGACACACGCTGGTTCATTAGGACAGCGACGTGGAACAATAAGGCTCAGGTTGTTAAGCATTTCTTACTCGGCACAAAAGTCTTGGGGAATTTAGAAGCTGAATCTTTAAACGTTGAGGATGTTTTTGGAAGTAAATCACATTCTATTACCTAGATTTATTTGTCATTCTTACTCAAATATAATTATTTTTCTAGGTTTCCTTTATCATTATTTAGGGATGTCAAACATACAAGCAATGAGAGCATTTGAGATTCTGCAGGCAAATATGTCTACTTTCCATCAACATGTTTTTGGTAATACAAACAAAGGCCAAACCAAATGCTAATAAAAAAAACTAGTCACATCCATATAAAGGTCACAACCCTAAGCACTTCTGCAAATATCCCTGCGGGACACTTCCTGCCCTCACTGATCAAATGAGACAAAGGATTAAGGATTAATGTCTAGAGAGACTCACAATAATAAGAGATGAAGTTGAAGCACAGAGTGTGTAGAGCCAGATCCAAGACTAGACTGCTTGTGATAGCAGAGCTTGACTCAGCGAAAAGCAGACCGACCTGCAGACTGAGATCTGAAGCCCAGCTGGAGGCGTGTGGTGCAGTGGGTTGAACGTTGGTGTTCGGATCAAGGGGTCACAGGTTCAAACCCCACTGCAGTCAGCATGTCGTTGTGTCCCTGGGCAAGACACTTCACCCCAAATTGCCCCTGTGGGGATTGCCCACAGTATTGAGTATGTAAGTCGCTTTGGATAAAAGCGTCTAACAAGTGACATGTAATGTAATGTAATGCTCCCTCTCTCCTCCACTCTCTCAGGTCAACACACATCAGACAGGAAGGCTGGTCTTGAGGGCAAATGCATGTATTTGGGTCAAATGTGTCATATGACCAAATCTAATTCACCGAGATTGCAATTCAAATGTACCTCCTCCATGCTCGTATTATAAGGGGGCATAAGATTATGCAACACTTACCAAAAAAAATGAAAAGGGCAGAAATATTCAGCACTTATTTGACTGCGCATGGTTTTAAACAAACGTAAATATCACATATCGGAGTAGCTTTAAAATCAAAGCCTGACTGACCAAGGATACAATAATTAAAAATATATATATTAAGAACAAAATAAACTAAAAATAAGGATGTGATCAGCAGGAGCCCAAATCAGCTCCCAGTCCCATCCCTGTGCGGCTCGTGCCAGTCCTCCGCATCTTACCGCCTCTCTGCGCGATGTGCGCGCTCCTGCACGGCATCCAGATCTTCCTCAGCGGGTTCTGGGTCAGCTCCCGCGGGGAGTTCTCCAGCATGAACTCTTCGTTGTCTAACATCCTTTAGGTTGGTTCACTGATGCTGCCCTGCTAGCTGTGAAGTGAGCGGTGGGCTGTAGCCCGGCGGTCTGGTGCAGCAGGCTGCCGGGGGATGGCTGTCATATCAGCTGAGAAACGGGAGTTGATCCACTACCGTAAACACTAGAGGCGGAGCGCAGCGAGATTTGAGGAGCAAAACAAAGGAGGGACAGGATGTGACTTTGCTTAAGCAGCAGTTCACTCGTGTTATTTTAACCCCGAGCAACTCCCTCAACTATTTAAATAAATACCATACATGATGGACAAAGTATCCTAACTCAAGGTATACTTACTATTTTTCCATGACATTGAAAGTACAAATAGGCTAATCATATAAAATGTCAAAAAGTCGCCAATGCACAACTAAAGGAAACCTTTCTGTCAATCACAGATAAGATTTGATCATGTAAAGCTGTTGTTCTTTTTGTTATCTTTTCACATATTTCAGTCGTGTGACGCTTAGGACTTTACTAAACTTATTGAGATGTAAAACACAACCAAAGAAAAGCCCTGAAAATCCTTCTCAGAAATATTTCAAGGAAAACTGACATTACCGTAATGTCGCACGGAGTGAGCAACAATAGCAGAAAAAGGCAGACAGCGAAAAACAAGCGTTCAGCTGTTGACATGCTGCACACATGGGCAGTGAATGCAGCTGATAAATTAGCCAATCGGAGAAGAGACGAGAGGTCCAGTAGCCAATAGGAGAGGAGGCTCTGGGACATGGAGGGCGTGATGGCTGGGAGCTCACATAAACATCTTCAGTGAAACCGCCTGCACACGACCCCGCCACGAGCCTCACAGATACCAGCACACAGCCTTCCTGTGGCAAAAGTCATCAACAACCTCTACATAAGATGAGGAAAACATATTTAAAACAATGGATGATGAACCACTATTAGCTTTTTTTTTTTTAAATGACAATAACTGTTCATTTAATGCAATTATTCTAATTATCATAACCTTTTGCATAATTGTTTTTTTTTAGAGAAAGCCAGCCACCAACAGTTGCTGTGCAGGTCAATTTCGGGTCGAAACTACTAGATCTGCAAAGATTAATTGATTAGTCATAAACTATTAAAGAATCGACAACTATTCTGAAAATCAATTAATCGTATTGATTCGCTTCAGTTCTTCAAAATGGAGGATATGCCGCTTTATCACATTTTAAATACATATACATTCAAAATCATTCGGTTGAGGGAAGGTTGGACAAAAGGAGCCATTTCAAGATGTCCTTTTGGCCTCTGATAAATCATAATGGTAATTCTGTACGATTTTATCCGGACATTTTCAAAAATAATGACTCCATTAGTTATTACAAATAATCAGCAGATCATTAGATACATCCATCAACTGCAAAATAGGTTGCAGCCAATAACAACAACAACAACTTACCACAGACCAAGAGAGCACCGCCAAGTAGCTTGTTTTGTCTGACCAAACATTTAAAACCCAATGCATTCAATCAGCAAAGATATAAAACAGAAAACCAGCATCATGAAATTGAAAATGTATGAATCAGCAAATTATGATAAATGGCCCAAACTATTGCCAATACATTTCCTGCATATCAACTAATTGATTCATAGACAAATAATTTCAGCAGCAGCAAACCTATTATCTGTTCTCTAGTTAGTACATTTAAGTATTGCATACAAAACACCTTTGTCATGATTTGTTTTTGTTTCTACACAGCAGTGTGTTGGTCAGAAGCCAAAGTATGTGTGAATAGCATTTGTACACAACCAAAACAATATGAAACTGGAGAGAATGTTGACTACAGCTACACAAGACAAAACATTTCCAGTGCAGCAGCTTTGCACAACACTGACCAGAAGCCACAAGTGGTTCAAGTTTCACTTTCAACTGATGACTAAATCATGTCAATTTTATAACACTGTGAGTTGTTGGGATATTTAATTGTTTTGTTATTGATGAAGCCTTATATATAGAGTCAGAGATGTAACACCAGGGGGAGCTGCCGACTCACTTCTAGGCCAATTTTTACTCAACTGATGTTGACATTAAAAAAAGGTTTTACCCTACTGGCCGCTGTGTTATCATCAAACATCTACTGCGACAGTAAACACACACAGAGGTCAGACGAGATTCAGCATGTCAGCAGGACTAATTCCACCAACAACACACTTCACCACATGCACATGCACACGCACACAGGCACACACACCGACACCAACACAGGAACGCACATGCATTATACTGTATATCCAGTGTGAAGTCTCTATGTTTGACCTGCTTTAACATACAATCTAAAATAAAAATTATTTGGTTGCGAGTTAGAATTAAGAGCTGGTTCCCTTTAAGAAAATAAGATCTGTGGCAAGCAAAAGTTTATGATACTTTTGTTCAGCTAGATACACACAAAATAAAACCATACAAAGTATCTCTGCTTTCACTGTATTAATGACATCGTAGCTTGATATTACCTAATTTACAGATTTCCAGACTAAAATAGTGTGTCATATTAGTGTCAAGTACCAACCTCCTGTCTATTTTCATGGACTCTTGTGTTTTTCCATTTCTGTCTTAAGTATAATATGTTGTTTTGCAATTATGGAGTATACTTTATATATGATTGATATTTGCTTTAAGATGTAGCATAGTGCGGTTATAACAGCTTCTGCTTTTAGGAAGGACACAGATTGTGGGCAATAAGGCCTTCCTTCAGTAAGCATTTAAATACATTTTAAAATGTAGACTGGGTTGAGGTGAGGGCTCTGTGCTGGCCTGTCAACTTTCTAGTTGAGGACCAACACATATTGGAAGAAAACCTTTACTTTTTAAAGATGTCCCTGTTCACAAAAAATACAGAGCACTATTTCCTAAAATATTAACATTATGCATGCTGTCCTATTTTTAAAATAAAAAGGTCTCTAGCTCAAACCATGAAAAACACACTCACAATAAAAGTATGCAGAAAGTTAAAATATAGCTCAAGGCAAGGCCTTAACCCTGTAAGGCACCCGGTTGTAATTTTAACAGCTGGTTTTATACAGTCCGACCAAAAAGACATGCATTTGACAAAGATATAAGTTAAAGAAAAATAGCAAGCACCTACAGCGGAGAAGAGGCAACAGAGAATGGTTAATATTTATGATTGACCAATGTCTTAAAACTTGGATTACTTGATTATCAAATATATTGTTAATAAGTTTGGTGTCAACTATGATTAATAGACTTTTATTTTGTAGTGTAATGCAGAACTGATCTATATGTTCGTTTTGTGTTACATGCCAGGGATGACAGAAGAGGAGGTTTCATCTGAGCCAGAAAGATCAATGTCTCCATTGGACAGAAATGTTGCAACATTTGCAACATTTGCAACATTTGCAAGCATAAACACAAATAACACAAACAACCTCACACTTAAATGCTCCCACATGTCAAAACATCAGCAAGATCATTGCAGTGAGCAGGCGTACATAGACTGAGTTGACTTTACTTTATTTAAGTTTAGCATTTCATTTTGGTGGGCATTGCAGATGAACCCTTCACAGTTAGGCAGTAAACAGAGACAAAGTAAGAAAATAATTCATGTGCAGAAGAAAATTATGCAAAGGGAAGTTAAAGTGTACAAAAAACAGGCTTTAATGCAAACATACACAAAAACAGGGTGACATTGTATTTTAAGAAATTATATGTAGGTAATGTTCTTTCCTTCATTCACTATTCATTACACACACACACACACACACACACACACACACACACACACACACACACACACACACACACACACACACACACACACACACACACACACACACACACACACACACACACACACACACACACACACACCACACACACACACACACACACACACACACACACACACACACACACACACACACACACACACACACACACACACACAACACACACACACACACACACACACACACACACACACACACACACACACACACAACACACACACACACACACACACACACACACACACACACACACACACACACACACACACCACCACACACACACACAATCTGCCTGGGCCATGGAGCCTATAATGAGATTCTGAGCGAGCGGGTGAACTTTCCCCCAGATAGAGAGCATACACAGAGAGGGAGGGAGAGAGGGAGGGAGGGAGGGAGGGAGGCGCAGTGAGCCAGCCAGAAAGGATGGGAGGGAGTGTTTTATTGTGATTATTTAGAGAAGTGATCTGACGGAGATAAAAATAAATATGAACATTTTGAGTATGACAGAAAATGGGAGATAGGAGAAGGTTAATGTACTGCAGCTGGCATGAGGGTAAATATCCTGCTCTGCCACTATGGAGTGCACGTCGGAAAATAATCTGTGATGGTTTGCTGCACCCACTGAAGCATATTTCGCTCCGTCTGCAGTTTTAAACACAGTTAGGACAAAGCTAACTCTATAATTTCACAAACAGTGACTTGTTAACATCCCTGTTTACAGCAGAGGCAGCTTAACGTGCTGGTTGACTTTAGGCCCATACTGAACAGCTAAAATACAAAGCAGTGTTTGTACTTGACCTTAAAATAACTGGGCCAGGCTCTCCCTCGAATACACATGTAGCATCTTCTAGCATGTTTTCCCTGTCTTTCTGCTTAGCCCAACCTCTCTATGTGGCAGACTCACAGCAGAGCATATTCTGCACACCAACACTGAGCTCTGTTCATCCCTCGTACATCTGCCACAACATTTTAAACCTCTGTGCTCATATGCGTGCAAATGTCCGTGTATCTGTCCCTGGAGTAACACAATCTATCACGGACTTGTTGGATAGACTTTGTCCTCTCTGCAATATGACAGTACAGTAACACAATGTTAAACAGGCCCC